AAAGTCATATTATAACATCGACTGAGATAAAGAATAAAATGAAATATTAAAATCACGATGTATCTCGCTGCATTGCGCGAGTACGCTTCTAGTATATATATATATATATATATATATATACTTGATAAATAGTTATTAAACTTTTCATTTGGTTAGTTTAAAAATAATAATATTTAATATAACAAATATTTTTTTCTCTATTAAAATAATAAAATTTTAAAAAATTATATCTAATGTAACATTTAGTGACGTAAATGTCAGGTTTATCATCCACTTTGTTGTAACTCATTTGTAAACATTTTTCCCAAACCTTTTAACCTAGCGGTATCGTAGTCTTTAGCTTCTCAGAAGGTCAAAGTTTCAAACCTCACCAAAAATGAGGAAGATGTGTGAGTTTATTTGTTACATTTGCTGTGTATAAATATTAAAAAAAAATTCATGTCATGAAACTTTCCAAATAAAAAAAAAGTACAACAAAAAATTTTTTTGAAACTTTGTCAAGAAAAAAATTCTTCTTTAAATTATATAGAATTTAAGACAAATTTTCTTATATTTTAATGTATAAATATCAATAATTTTAACTTTTTTATATTAACCTTGATATCCAACCCGCTATGCAAGTCGGTTAATCTCAGGACAACCACCTGTTTTGCAAATAGCACGGAATCACTGCATTTGAACCTCTATGGCCATAAGTTAATTTTTGTTCTTCCTTGGATTTGAACCAGGAACCTTCTGACACTTTTGACCTTTAGAGTCCAAGGTCAAACCAATCAGAGACCACCAGTAACTTTTTTTTATAAGATATGTATTCACAAAAGTCTATAGATTTAATAAGATATCAAAGCCCAAATCCCTAAAGTTTAGGCAAGGCATGAGCATAACGGTATTACGGGATACATTACTAAAAAATAACTTTTCAAACTTAAAAAAATATAATTTTTTATTTCTAAGACAAAAAGTACACCAAAGAAAAACAGTTATTGCTATCTTTTTTATTATTAAAAAACTTTAAATACTATTATTTTAAATGACTTTTATATTAGTAAAATCAATTTTGATCTGCACTAAATACTATTATATTTTGATTACTAATCAATTACTCATTAGGACGGTTAAATCACATGTGATTTTAAATGCTATGAAAGTAACCTTCACAATGTTTTTGTTGTGAAGGTTCGAACTTTTTTTTATCTTCACAACGTTTTGCCGTGAAATTTCAAATGTAAAACAATAATCTCACGAAAACAGACTAGTCCCACATGAACCCCAACCCTATACACACGCATATATATAAACATATACGTATACATCCATATAAGAGAGATGTACACTAAACAGGTACATCCACATCCACACAAGAGAAATGTACATTATACACTACTCACAAGACCCTCCATTTATTTAATTTAAATAATAATAATAATAATAATAATAATAATAACAATATAGAAGAAAAGTTACGTCAATGTGACATTACACAATACTTGAAATTTTGGAATACCAATTATGGGTTGGGTTCACATAAGACAAGACTTTTCGTGAGACACGATTTTTACACTTAAAACTTTACAACAAAATGAAAACAGTCTTGTCTCCACAACATCAAGGTAAAAAAAAAGTCGAATTTTCACAGCCAAAACACTGTGAAGGTTACCTTCACAGTGTTCTGTTGTGAAGTTTCAAGTGTAAAAATCGTATCTCACGTGTCTCATGATAAAAATCGACCATGATAAAAATAGAATGACGTAGGGGCCATTTACCAAACGTTTTTCAGGTAAGCACTGCTTATGACAAGAGTCACCACCAGGGGCGGACCCACTTTAATAGATACGGTGGCACATGCTACCGCTTTGTTCCTCTTCGTAGTGTAAAAAAAATTATAGGGTCATGACAGGTGCTTCATGTCATTTTGTTTTGTGCAACCGTATATATCTTTAAACTACAATGACGACATAAGTTTCCCTTGGTAGAATTGGTTTGCATGACTTTACTCCCACCCCAGACTCAGGTTCGAATCTTGTTTGTCATTTTTTTCCTTAATGTTTAAATTTTAAATCCAGATTTATTATGTTTCTAAAAGAACCTGCGATAAAAGATTTGAATTTGAACAGGACCTCACATATGAAAAGCAAAGAACTAACCACTAGACCAATGATTGTTTTGTGAAAATATCCATATCTTTGTCTCATATAGTCAAATGGTGGCACCATTTAAAAAAAAAACTAGGTTTGTCTCTAACCTTATCAGGCGACATTTTCAACCATCCAAATGGATTATCAGTAAAAATTTGCGGTCCTTACCATGCTCATCTGGTAAGCATTTGATATCTATCGATTTCTCATGTTGGGGTTGGTTTTTATCCGGTAGTAAGTTGTTTCCTTTTACTTTTGGTAAAGTTTGAACCCTTGACCTCCTAGGAGGCCAATGACTCTTTGGTTAGTTTCGGGGTAGACTTACGGGTAGAATCGACATAAAACCACCACGTAGCGATCGGGGGAAAAGGAAGTTGATATTAAATATGGAATGATAATGTGCGAGAGGCTGAAAAGAGCAGGCGATGATGGGGCCATACCATATGTATATTTTATGACTGTATACCCCGTGAAGGCCTTGACATGTGATCCCAAATTGAAGGGCTGTTGTTATCTCTCTTTGTGTTTTGGTGTTTTTATTTTTCACAGGGTCCTACTCACTCACGTGTCCTTATTTGTCTTTCTTTCCTTCATCAATGGCCTATTCTTCTAAATTATTACTAACAACAAAATCCACTTCAATTATTCTAATCATCAATCCAATGGCAACTCTTTCAATCTATATGCATACATGCAAGTGGTTCTGCTTTATTCATGATCTACAAGTTTCCCTCATTCTTTCTATCTGGTTTTCCAGGTTGTAAATATTACCTATACTGGAAATGGAAGTGGAACTCCTAAAGCATCCAAAATGGTTGAGCAGTTTTGGAAAAAGAAATGCTGAAAAGCCACATTTACAACTGCACAAGCAAAAATATGTTTCTTTTCAAATAAGCAAGCAATCATTATGGAAGCTCTTAGGGTCGGGTTACGTGGAGAATAGAAATTATGGTGACAGGATCCTTTCTTTACGCTTATCAACATGGCTTCCATTTTTACACGATCCTTCGTCTATATATATATATATATATATATATATATATATATATATATATATATAGGTCAAGTTCAAGGGAAAACCGCAAAAAAATGAAATACTGAGGAACACTCTGGTAACCGTTCATCTAGACCGTATGCACATGTGCGTACAAGTAATTTTTAAGCAAATTATCCGGTATACACATGTGCATAAAACAAAAAACAGTTTTAATTACTTGTATGCACATGTGCATACCATCCAGATGCATAGTTACTCGGTTTTTCATTTTTTAGGGGTTTTCTCCTTAACCTCTCTCTGTCAATATATATATATATATATATATATATATATATATACACATATATATATATATATATATATGGGCAAGTGAAGGATCTAGACAAATACTAGGTTATCAACTTTCTATCTAGGCCGGTCTCTCCAAAAAATGATGCTACATTTTACTTCCTCCATCCTCTATTAGTTGACTACTTCTTAAACCTAATAATATGTAACAAAATTATTATTACTATTTATTCTACTATGAATCTAAAACCCACTTCTTTTCTATTCATAATATTCTACCTTTTTAGGTGATTATTTTCTATTAAATACATTTATATCAAATTTGAAATTAAGAATAGTTTATTCAACATTAATTCAAATCAAAACCATAGGTCTTAGGTGGTGTACTATATATCTTAATCGTCTATGATCCAATATTATATATCTGAATCGTCTATGATCCATTATTTTGGTAATAAATATACTTCTTGTACTTTTAAACAAAGCAAAACGTTGCTACAAAGAGAACCCTCCAATTATATTTGTGGGGTCGGGCATAATCTTTTACGTTGTTAGTATATGTTTGTTTTCATTAATTACACACGAATATCTCATGTTGAAAAACCGTTAAAGATTATTCAGTTTCATTTTCTATTTGCAGTTTGTGTAACATAAGCTAACCACTAGAGTTGTTTAGAAGTATAATCATCCTAAAAGGATCAAACAGAGAAAATAGGGTTGTTTCACGTATAATAATCTTGTCGCCCACAAACTTGAAAGAGGTCAAATTGTAAAAATGGAAAACTAAGTTGTACATGTATAAATTGGGTGTCCATTCTTGCATACTATTTTTTTAAGCATATAATATTTATATACGACAAATACTCACGCACATTCCTATCTTTTGGTGAGCCCTTGACCTCCTAGAACACTGTCACTAACCCATGTACCGCTAGACCAATGATCCTTTGGTTACCATATTCATCTTTATAAGCACGATGTTCATGTACTACAAAAAGTTAAATGCGATGGTTGGTTTAGAACGGGACCTTAAATGCAACGTTTTAAGAAATTTATACCTGTTAAGCTAATCATCATGATTAAGAAAGATGATTACCTTAAATCCTTAATGCTTGTTGATGAAGTGAAATCACAGGGTAAATTTGGTTAACCAATTGGCCAGCTAACCTGCAATAACATATTACCATGGGACCGATTAGTGGGACCATATATATAGAAAATCAACTACATTTCACAGAAAAGAAAGAAGAAAACTAAAAGTTAAAGAATAAAAAAAAGGAATGTCAAGCGCTATCAAACAATCTCTTTGCAAAGCTACATTACTCTTGAACTACCCTGCCTATATAAACACCAAACAACCTCCTCATATTGGTCATCTAAAAACACACACCAATCACACACACACCAGCTTATTAGCATGGGCGGTTTTAGTTTCGGAAAACTTACATTTGCACTTATCGTTGCAATCTTGGTATGGTCTTCGAGCATAGAAACTTGCAATGCCAGAAGGGGAAAGCATTGGAGGCATAGCAGAGGTACCTTTAGTTCTCTGTACAAGAAGAAAGGAAAGAATCAAGGGGGGCACCAGGCCTCGAAACCTAAACAAAAGCATCCGCTTCCGACCCCAGAAGAACCGGTGGCTCCTCCACAGAAAGGTTCGAAATTTAATGTGCTCGACTATGGAGCTAAAGGGGATGGTAATTCTGATGACACAAAGGTGAGATATATGTTATGTTTTCTAACAATGCACTTAAGAAAGTTTTGTATTCATGTTTAGAAGACCATACCATGTCCATATGTCGTAAATCGTTTAGGCACCATCTGTTCATTCATGGGTACCATTTCCATGATACGAGCGAAAAACGATAATGGGGCACACAATGGAGATGAGACGTGAAAGCAAATTGGGTTATTTAGCTAAATGACCTTCTGACGAGTATCTTTTAAATCCATGACCTTGTGACAGTTAAGCAATGGCATTCTCAAACCTGCCAGAAGGTCATGGATTTATAAAATACCGGCAATATTGGTCCATAATTTTTTGGATTTTCCATCCATTACTAGTTTTCACGTTTCATTTTTTTCTTTAAAATTCTTAAGGGTATTCATATTTGGATTCATTGAGATGGTTATTGTCCTCCATTTGCATAAATCATCACCCTAAGACCATAATTATACGTACACGATTTCAACATATCATGCATGACTACTTGCTTTTACCACATCCGCCACCTGCAAACCAGTTCTACTTCTTTTCAGCATAATAATTGAACTAAAGCAATCACAAAAAGGTTCCAAAAAGTAACTTTCAATTCTTTATAAAACTTCAACACATCATAATCCTTCCTCCATTCGCAAAATAAATACAACAGATTCTTTTTGGGAAAGCTTCAACCCACAATTATTATTTTTAACAACTAGCATTTATTACAAAATACAGATCGCATTGGTTTTATAATAAAAATATTCATTCATTTCATCAGGGGTATTTTAGATATATGACTGATAGTCTACATTTTCATAAAGTTTGTATTTATCTTTGGAACAAAGGAAGTAAGTAATTCAACAAACTCAGCATATACCACACAAGGATATCTTTTTGTCACAAGAATTACATTTGGTTGAATTTTTAACGCTTTATTTTGTTGCAACTTGTGTCGTTTGTAAAAAAAGACAGGTGGTTGTTGTATGTTCCCTTTATTATAAGGTGTATAAGGTCATAGAATAAAGAAAGAGAAGAAATTAATTCATAGAAAAAAAGATAACTGGAATTGGTAACAAAAGAGAACAAAAATAGGTGGACCACTTAGAAGACTCTCATACGGCAGTTTGCCTGGTTTAGATTCCCAACAATTATTGTATGCTGTCTAATGCAAACTACCAACTGTATGCCAAAAAGTTGTACTCTGTCAATTAAACATTTTAAGTATCAAAATAAGAAAAAACTAATAAGAAGATTAAGTACTAACACACCCTTGTCAGTTTTACCATTGAAGTAAAGTTGGTGCTATAATTTCAATTTGGGAGGATAATCATATATAATAGATAGTAAAACTGTAATTGAAGACAAGTTACTAACCAAGATATATGTTACTATGTGTTTTTGCAATGTAGGCATTTCAAGCTGCATGGGCTGATGCTTGTAAAGTGGAAGCATCAACGATGATCGTGCCATCAGGTTATCAGTTCCTTGTGGGACCCATTTCTTTCTCTGGTCCTTACTGTCAAAGAAACATTCTTTTTCAGGTAAATAGTGCTATCATAACACTTAATATAAGTTGTCGTAAGTTCATAAACTTCCCATTTGTTAGTTCAATATCAAATCAGTAACAGACATTACACTCAAAAGTTACTAGATTTATCAGGAGGATAGAAGAGATAGTTCCATAAAAGATGTGATAAGGAATTACTAATCTGAAGTCTAACCCAATAAATAAATTATATTGCAGCTTGATGGTACGATTATAGCTCCAACAAACTCAAAAGCATGGGGTAAAGGTCTCCTGCAATGGCTAGAATTTACAAAACTTGTAGGGCTGTCAATCAAGGGAAAAGGCACCATTGATGGAAGAGGCTCAGTTTGGTGGACAAAGTCGATACTTGATGATTCTATAGATAACGAAGAAAAACTACGAGTTCCACTAGACAATATCACAGTGACACAAGATCCCCAAGTAAATTCTATTTCTACCACACTTTCAGCAAAGAAATTGTTCAATTAAGGAATAAGTTAATACCCGGTTCATCTTACTAATTTTTCTTATAATTGCTTGTGGCAGGTAAGCAGCTCACTGGATGAGAAAATGCCTAGTACAAAGCCAACTGTAAGGATCCCTTACAAGAATCACAATTCATCAACATACTCCTTAATGACGATTTTAGTTTAATATGGCGACTATTTTTTCCTAAACAGGCACTGAGGTTTTATGGGAGCTTTAATGTGACGGTCACAGGCATAACGATTCAAAATAGTCCCCAATGTCACCTCAAGTTTGACAACTGTGACGGAGTTTTAGTATACAGTTTTAGCGTCTCATCTCCTGGTGACAGCCCCAATACTGATGGAATTCACTTGCAGAACTCGAAGAATGTGCTAATCCACACTACAGATCTAGCTTGTGGTAAATTATATTCTTTTCCTATGTTCGACTAATGAATTATCTATATTTCTTCAAATCCTCCCTCTAAACACCATGACCATCTGTCACAATGTCATGCATTTTTTATAAAGTGTCAGAAGGTTATTCTCCTAAATAACCCTTTTGTAAATTATAATCACAAGTGCACGAAAAGTTGGAGGAAAACAGGATCTATCATGAGACAACCTTATCCTAAGCTCTTTACAAAACCACATGCTTGAAGCCTTCCCTAATATATTCAGATTCATGGCAACCATCCATTCTTACTCACCAATTATCCACCAAAACCTATAGATAGTGACGAGTAATGCTTACAGTCAACAAACAAACCTAATCTAACAAGAAGTGTGAACCCCACACACCCAAGAGACAGTTCTATCACCTTATCCAAAACCCAAACCAACCCACCAGCACCAAAGCTTGTACACACACACGTAACAGAATATCCCCTTCTCTCTGTTCATGAGAGGCATTAGTAAATTAAATTACCACCATAAACATGAACCATCATACTGTAATTTTTTAGGTCACTGCATAGGAACTAGACTTGATGTGTTCTGAATCTTGAATAATGTTGTGCATAGGTGATGACTGTATATCTATACAAACGGGATGCACAAATGTATACGTACATGATGTCAATTGTGGGCCAGGGCATGGAATAAGCATTGGAAGTCTAGGAAAAGATGGCACATCAGCTTGCGTCTCCAACATTACTGTCCGCAATATCAATATGCATAACACAATGACCGGTGTTAGGATCAAGACTTGGCAGGTATAAATAGCAAGTACCAATTACTGTTCCACCAATCATAAAATTACATGAATCAACATGAAGCATCAAGCATTTCAAATAACTTGAAGATAAAATCTAAAACCAATAAAAAGAAGTTCCTCCTGAGAGAAAGACCACCATTCTGGATATAAAATTGAATGACGTGGAAAATGAGCATTAAAATGTTCGAAGAAAATAAAATTGTCAGGAACTTTATTATACTCACCTTACTTTCATTTGGCTAGCACAATACCAATGTCCAAATGTTCTTGTGCAGGGAGGGTCAGGTTCTGTGCAAGGAGTATTATTCTCAAACATTCAAGTTTCTGAAGTCGAATTTCCAATCATGATTGATCAATACTACTGTGACCACAGCAGCTGCAAGAACCACACATCTGCTGTGGCTGTATCAAATATTGCCTATGAAAATATACGAGGAACCTATACGGTAAAACCAGTGCACATGTCATGCAGTGACAGCATGCCTTGTACGGACGTAAAGTTGACCGATATTGAACTCAAACCAATGCCCAAAGGCTACCATATGTATGACCCATTTTGTTGGCAAGCTTTTGGGGAATTGTATGCTCCCACCATCCCAGAAATTGATTGTTTACAGGAAGGTAAACCATCAAGCAGCTGGGATCCTGATGAGACTGGATGTGCAGCATAGCCTATATATGATTGGTGCATCAACTAGTGAGGTCGGTGTAGTTGCTGGCCCCTTTCACATCATACAATTGCTTGAAAGTGAGTATATATAGGTAGTATTATACTACAGGATTGATTGTATTAAATGGATTATTGGTTCTTATTGTGTCAGTTTATACATTACAAAGAAGTTCTCTTTCTTTTCACTAGATGCTAGCAATGTATGGCAGCATCATGTCATTGTTGATAGATATGTGTGCCTAGTTACTTCTCTGCAATATAAAGTAACAACTTTCGTATGATTAAGCTGTGTATCGCTCTAATGTTCGCTCTCTAACCTATAGTATACAAAATCCCTTTACATGTGACCTTTGTCATATACACCCACGCTACAAGAACGTGTGAAATAAAAAGTGGGACACAAACTGACGACAACCTGAGTACCGCATGTCATAACTAACATACAAAAAACAACTAAAGGAGGGCATGCAACACATTATGCATGCCTTCACTAGCAAGTAAGATCTTAGGATCTCCTCATTAGGCGGTAACAATCATTGAATCTTCAATTGGAAAAGCATACACCAACTGAAAGGTGAGATAAGAGAAGCAACAAAACTGAGATCAAAGAATGCCATCTGGGGTTGGCTGCATTCAGATTTTTTATGCGTGCACTACAAGAAACATATTACACCAAAAGAGGTGTAAACGAATTGTTGGGAAATTACCAAAACCAAATAGCAACATGCTCGATAGTTGGTTCTCGATAAAACACAAATAACCCAAGAACAAATGAACTAAAGTTATGTATCAACATTCTAAGCGGAATAACAATTGACAATGCAAGATGATCAACCACTAAGTAATGTAAACAATAATCAACCCTATAAATGCAAAATAAAACATAAGAGAGGCACCGAGATTTTTACGTGGAAATCCAGAAAGGGAAAAACCACGAGCGAGGACGCTTAGAACTGATCCACTATCACTTTGATGATGATACACTTGAGAAAAGCTTACAGCTTACAATAATGGAGAAATCTATGGAGGGTTCTTGAAAACTTGGATGGCATGTTTTAGAGAGAGAGAGAGAGAGACTAAGGTTACCAAAAACCATATTCAAAAAGGCTTGCTAAAATAAAGCAACAGCCGATGGTCAAAAGCCCTTCCATGCACAAAATGAGTTTAGGCCACATGTTGGGACTTGGGCGGCATATGCCACATGAGAAAAAACCGCCCGGATCCTTCCAAGGCTTGAGCGACAATGGTCGCACATCAGGTTCGACCAATTGTGGTGGATTGAAGGCAACAATCTTCACAAATTTTATTATTACTTTTGATTCCCTGTTTCGGATGATCATAAATGATGTTTACAGTACATTTGTACCTTTTACTGGATTTTCATGAAGATTTATACTAATATACTTGTTGATATATCCGGTAAGTCATTGACACCCATGTATGTACTTGTATATATCCCTACTACTACAATAATCTTTTTCATTTTCTGTCTATTGGGGGGGCTTGCATTAATGTTTAGGGTCTTGCTATATGCACCCCTATGTATGTCAGATTCAGGTCAAAGCATACCTGGTTTTTATCGTTGCAGTTATTTAATATATGTTCCCCTTCATTTTAAATCTTTGCATTAAAGCTTCTGCCTTTTAGACTTAAAACTTGTCTTTGTTTTCCTCCCTTCCTTATTATGGTTTCCTCTCTCTCTCTCTCCCCTCCCCAGGTGGAGTTTATCAAAGTCGATTTGTTGATGAGGTGAGATATGAAGGCAACTGCTTCATATAAGGTACATGAGAATATTATATTTCTTCACCTTTTGCATTTGTACACCTTCAAAACATCCATGGTTTGTGTATAGGCTTGTACACTTGTCTCGTTTATTGATGTTGTAAAGTGAGAGGGAAGAGATATCGAGGGATGCATGGACTCGGAACTAGATTGATGGATCATTGTTTTTTTTAATTTAGGGAGTTCTAATTACCATGAGATGTCAATATATACATTTGTATAATAATGATGGTGGTTATAGAGAGAATAAAATGATCTTTACACCTAGTATCCTTTATATATATATATATATATATATACATATATAGAGAGAGAGAGAGAGAGGCAGGATCAAACGAGAATGTACCTATTTAAAGAACAGAAAAACGGACAAATCACATGCAAAATCACATGTGATTTTACATTAATGGTCAAAAAAAGTGTCTGGGTGACTTGTGGCTGCGTCTTTAGGTCGCGGGGCAAGGTCACCTAAATCACATGTGATTTTGTATGTGACGTTAGTGTAAAATCACATGTGATTTGCCTATTTTCATGTTCTTTTAAATAGGTACCGTTCTCGTTTGATCCTCCCTCTCTCTCTATATATATATACACCTAGTATCCTTCATATATATATATATATATCAACAATCAGCACTGAACATGAAATACACACAACGACATTTTCCTTCTATGTTTCTTATCTATAACATTAGAGTTCATAAAACATTACCTTAGTACACCATCATGTGTGATCCTTGAAACCGTAATCCTCTTTGGATAGCAAGTTTCACCCCAAAAAATATTATACCAGATCCCATCAGACGTTTAGCCGCAATCTCAGCCAACTCAACATAACATTACCAAAACTCTCCACATGAGCAAAGCCCGTACCTAAAATGATGAAATCGATTTGTATCCCTTACTACAATCTCCCTTCCTGTAATTTTGGATGCCAACTTCATAAAAGCATGGCAATCCCCACAGATTCTGAGATTCTTCATGATTCTTACAGGAGCAGAAGAAGGTAAGCACATCAATCCATAAACAAGAGCAAGTTTCTCACTGTGGTGCCTTAAAAGTTCTGCTTTCTGATTCTCTTCGACATTGTGCAGGTCATGTTGAGTCTCGCCTCTATAACCAATCTTTCTCATCTCTTCTAGCATATCCTCCAATCTTGAATAAATCTCACCAATTCTTGGATGGTTTCTTTCTCCAACCATAAACGCATGAACCTTGTCTTTAATCTCAATCCAACTCTTACCCCTCTCCTTCTTTACTTCTGTTTCCTTAAGAAGCTTTCTTGCCTGTATAACTTCATCCCACTGTCTATTTGCGGCATAAATGTTTGAAAGCAAGACATGGTTTCCGGCATTTTCAGGTTCAATCTCAAATAGACGTTTAGCAGCAATCTCAGCCAACTCAACATTTCCATGGACTCTACATGAGCTCAAAAGTGATCCCCAAATGGCTGCAGTCGCCTCAAATGGCATTTTGTCGATCAAACTCTTGGCTTCGTCAATAAGGCCTGTTCGACCAAGAACATCAACCATGCAAGAATAGTGGAAAACATTAGGTGATAAATTATGTTCTTTTACCATCATATCAAAGTAATTCTTTCCCTCTTTGACCAATCCCATATGGCCACATGCAGACAACACAGAGACGTAAGTAACCTCGTTTGGTTGCAACCCAATTTGCTGCATTTTCTCAAATAACATCATTACCTCCATAGATCGACCATGTCTGGAAAACCCGGAAATCATTGCATTCAGTAAAACAATATTTTTCTCTTCTGTACATGAAAAGACTAAATAAGCTTCGTTAATGCTTCCGCATTTGGAATACATATCTACAAGAGAAGAAGACACAAAGAAGTTTGCAACGAAACCCATCTTCAATAACACCGTATGCGCCTGAATCCCTTCAATTTTAGCAGCTATAGCAGCACAAGCAGCAAGAACCGAAGAAATAATAAATTGGTTAACTTCAACTCCAGTAACCTGTACTTTTCTAAACATTAACAAAGCTTCCTCATAAAGCGCATTTTTCACATACCCTGCAACCATTGAACTCCATGTCACATCACTCCTTTCGGGCATATACTCAAAGACCCGAATTGCATCTTTCAGTAGACTGCACTTGGCATAAACATCAAGCAGAGCAGTGCCAACAAACATATTTGTAAGCATGGATGCCTTAAGAGCAAAAGCATGTAACTGCCTACATTCGAACACTGCAAACTCAGCAGCACAAGCACATAAAACCCCCGAGAGTGTGAATTCACTAAATTCTTCCCCTTCTCTTTGCATCCGAACAAAAAGATCAAGAGCCTCTCTTTCCTGTCCATTCTGAGTATATGATCCCATCATGGTATTCCAGGAAACTAGGCTTCTTTCAGGCATTTCATCGAACACTTTACGCGCATGCTCGATAGACCCACATTTTGAATACATATTTATGAGCATATTTGAAGTTAAAGTGTCTGCCCATAATCCATACTGAATTATACAGCCATGACAAGCCATTCCTTCCATGGTAAACTTTTCTCTCGCGCATTTTTGCAATATTTGGTGTATACTAGATAGGCAAGTCGGGTATGCCCGCACCCACAAAGGGGTTTTCTCGGGAGTCAAGGTGGATCCATGTTCGTTCACGGATGTAGCTACGGCTATGGGCGACAAATTTATATTGCTTGAATCCAATGTTAGAATGGGTTTAGTGTATCTACGCACAGCTTTCATGTCACTGTTTCCTGGGAATCACCATGCGGGTGTTAGAAAAATCCAAAGGTTATGAATCGGGTAAACCCCACCCATTGGGTAAACCATCAAAACATATCATTTTTCAATTAAAGATAGAGTAAATTACATTTTTGGTCCCTACAATTCATAAAATACACTAATGATCCAAATATCGTGTTTCAAAGCCTAAAACGGTCCCTCCAATTAACATCATTAAACAAAAATCCGTTAAATCAATTATATGCCCCTCACGTGAAGGACAAATACACCTTTTTACCCCTATTTCTACTTTTAATTTAAGAAAATGTAAATAAATTGTTATATTTTTTATTTTTTAATATTTGTTTCTCTCTCTCTTTTTAACTCCTCTCAAATACAGAGGCCATGTTTGAAGACCTTTATCCTTTTAAGGGGATGTTTAGGAGTGTTTATAAAAATGATTTATTAACTTATTACAGTGTGGCATCGCTAATAAATACTTTTGAGTGTTTGGATAAACAGCTTATACCGGTGTCAAACTGATAATAAAGAGTTTTTGAATAAGTTAAATCATTCTAACTTATAATAAGTTGATAAAGACTTTTGTAAAAAGATATAAGTTGTTTCAAATAAGCAATCTCAAACGCCCCCTAAGTGTTTTAGTGATGAGTTTGAGATGAAAACCTCTCCATTTTTTGTGTGTTTTAGTTTGGTGTTGGAGATTTTTAAAGGCATATCTGGTTTCCATTTTCGAGTTTGGTTTTCGAAAGCAGATCCTCGGTTTGTATGGTTCAACGAAATTTAAGGGTTTTGAGCCCACCCCCTCTGGTTCCAGTTCACCGAAGTTGAAGTTCTGAGACATGAATTTGAACATGAAATCAATAAAGACCCCATCTCCTTTCACCAGTGAAGACTGCCTCATTTCTTGAAGCAACACATATGACTGTGAAGCAAAGACGAACCACAAATTCAGGTTTGCTCGAAATAAATCATCGCTCGAGTTATGTGCTCATGTATAACGGCCACTTCTTTGCGGAATCCGGCTTGTTGAAGATTATTAGGGTTCTTGATTTTTTTCCCTGATTTTGATTTTAGGTTGGAGTGATTAGAGCTATTGATGTTGTTTTTGCTTTTTTATTTTAGGGTAGGGTTCTTAAATATTTAATAAAAAGGTTGGATGTTTTTGTATGATTTTTATTTAGGTTTTGGTTTGAATGTTTTGACATAGACCTGAACTGGATTTGAATTTTGATTAAAGTTGGAATGTTTTCTTGTGAACCTAATTCATATCCTGAAAGTTTTTAATGGTGGATATTTAGATATTGCTCAAATGGCCCCTTCTCACAAAAGTTCGGGTGAAGACGGATCTAAGTGTTGGTTAGGTAAGCGTTCTGTAGTAAGAAATGGTGGTGATAGGTGATGGTGGTGGGCAACAATAGCAGGTGGCAACGGTGGATGATGAGTATGAATGTTTTCGTAAGTTGAGGTGAGGATGAAGATGAAGGATATGGGTAAAATGACCAAATTGCTCCTCATGTGAGGGGGCACATGACTGACTCAATTGTTTATATACATATACACACACAGGCGTATATATACATGTAGACGAATGAGAGAATAGGAGTTAAGGTGGAAGTATAAGAACGAATTTAGACCCTTGATCACTTTTAATCCTAAAACAACTCATGAATTGCACTTAAGAAAGGTAATTGATCTAGTGGTTCTATTCAATTAAGATTGAATCCAAGGGTGGATATCTCTTTTCACCATTTTCATCATAACTTTCATTTTCTCAAGAACTTAACTCTATACATGTATGTATGTCGTTGGATAGTGAGTATGCAATAAACATTCACGTGAAATAATTGCAATTACCAACGGAAGGGGTAGGGGACCTCTTCTACTCTTTATAATTTATGTCGACGGGCATACACGCATACCCAGAGAAAAGCATTTTATGTCTTTCAAATAACATATGAACAACAATTAATCACATTAATATCTTTTAAGATTCAAAACTCAGTTACTCAAATGTTTAACTTAAAACAGACAAATAAATCATGTAAACATAGTTGTATAACATCATAGCTAATAAATTAGGGCAAATGACTAATATTAAATTTGGGCAAAATTTTAAATTTGAATTAGGTCATGAAACAAAACCTAAACGAGAAAATTGAGAGTGATTGGGTGAGTGTAAAAGCATGTGAGATTGAGAGAGTGACTGGCTGGAGAAAACCTCAGAAGCCGAATAACATCAACCATGTAAGAATAGTGGAAAACATTGTGTGATAAATTATGTTCTTTTACCACCATATCAAAGTAATTCTCCCCTATTTGATCAATCCAATATGGCCACTCATAGACAATATGGAGACGCGTAAGTAACCTCGTTTTGTTTGCAACCCATTTTGTTGCATTTTCTCAAATAACATCATTGCCTCCGTGTATCGACCATGTCTGGAAAAACCCGAAAATAATTGCATTCAGTAAAACAACATTTTTCTCTCCTGTACATGAAAAGACTAAATAAGCTTCATTAATGCTTCCGCATTTGAATGCATATCTACAAGAGAAGAAGACACTGAAATTTGCAACAAAATTCGTCTTCAATAACACCGCATACGCCTGAAATCCCTTCAATTTTAGCAGCACAAGCAGCAATAACCGAAGAAATAATGAATTGGTTAATTTCAACTCCAGTAACCTATACTTTCCTGAACATCAGCAAAGCTTCCTCATAAAGCTCATTTTTCACATACCCTTGAGCTCTAAAATAGTTTAATCGCAATGTACCACCAGGCTAAAGAAGCGGATGTGAGTTTTATTTGTCGTATATAAAATCTTATACATTTTAAAAAAAATATCACAATCAAAGGGGTGTACAGAAATATCTTTACGACTACAAATAAGAATTATTACATTCATTTTTAACATATTTTTTATGTTACAAAATTAAAATATCTAATGCATTTAATAAAATATTATTTTTTTCTTTTAGATATTTAATTTCAAAGACTAGCAATGATAGAGATAATAAATTATTATTTTCCACTAATAAGTAATATTTTTAGAAAATTCTCCATACCTAGGGGAAATTTTATTCTCTCTCATACCTTCTCCATTTTAAAGAATGTTTTGGAAAAAACCGTTGGAGCAAAAGAGGACTAAGATCTTATTTTTAGAGCATTTCCAACAACTATGATAAAATAGAGAAAAAAAGGTATTTTGATATTTTTTTTATTGCTCCAATAGTCATACTATCCTTTATGCTAAAATAGAGAAAATATGTGAAAGATTGTGAAAATCTCTAAATCTAAAGAAATCTTTAAAACTCCATAGAAAAGAGAGAATAATATTTAAATTATGTCCATCAAATTAAAACTATTGAAGTAAAATGTGTAGGTGAGAAAAATAAGGTTTTATTAAATGTATTGAATATTTTAATCATATAATTAATGCTAAAATTTTGTTAAAATAAAGTAGTTTTTGGAGTTGAATGCAAGTTTTTCTAGATATTTTTATTTTTCATACTTTATTATAGAAAAATTATAGCATAGTTATTGAAGATACTTTAACAAATCCTCTAAAATAGAGAATATGAAGATTTTGAGCAATTTTTTTGTTCTAATAAATTCTTTAAAATAAAGAAAACATAAGAGATGGTGTAAATATCTCCAAATTTTAAAATGAATTTTTATTGTATTCTATTTATATGTACCTTTGAAATGAAATTTTTATAAAAAATAATATTCAATTAAAATGTATAAAAATATTTTAATAAGGAGAAAAACTTTTGGAGATGTTTCATTAATCGAAAAAGTCAAATAACTCGTATCCTACCTTATCCGATAAGATAGAAGAAATCGTTAAACCATTATTTGGGCACCGTTGTATAACACCACTTTCCCTCCATTTCCTTCCCAACCCCCTCACCACCGCTGCAGCCAGAATCCGGTATCCATGGCCACCGGAATTCAAGAGAAAGACCTAGTCACCATGAGGAGGAGAGTTGCCGCCGTCAGCAACCACCTCCTTCCTTCGCCCCATAGTTCAATTTCCCCCATCATAAGCTCGTCAAATTGCAGCGCTTCCATGAACGATAGCTATCATCGGATTCACGGTGAAGTGCCAAATCATTTACCTGTTTGGAAAATCGCTTGTGATGAGTCTGGGAAGGATTTCACTGATATTATATACGAGAAAGCTGAAGGAGAAGCCATTGCCAAGGTTAGTAAGTTTGCTCTAATTAGTACCACTCTTTTTCCATTATGACGTGAATGTAAAACCTATAGTTTCTGATCAAAAGTTTGAAATTAATTTAAAAAAATTGGAGGAAATCATGATGTTTATCAAATTTTGTGGCAATTACGACAAACAAAATGAAGTCAATGTTAAATTTGTAATATATTCCCTTTGATTTTGAGTTTCGAAATCATCAAATTTAAAGTATATGTCTAAATGTAGCTTTTGAATAGAGGTCGTATTTATGAATCCACGGTTGACCATGAATGGCATGGAGTCGTTGTAGGTTATGGTTTTTTGGCCTCCCCTGGATTCGAACCGGGGAAGATGAGATTTCTGCTACATGCCCTAGACTTAGGGGCCGTTTACCCAATTCTTATCGGTAAGATTCAATCCTTTCACTTGACTACCGGATCAGGGATGAACCAGGCGTTTTGTTGGTGGCATGTGCCACTGTTACATTCTTTCATCGTCGTATCAATTTGTTGTGTGTCACTGTATATATATAAAACTACCGAAGGCACAAGTTTACCTTGGCAGAGTTGGTTTGCAAGGTTTTTTTACCATATATAAAAAAATGAACTAACCAACAGATCAATGATGATTTTGAGAAAAATATATGTACATTTGTTTCTTATAGTCAAATGGTGCCATCATTTGAAAAAATTTATTGGTTCGTCCCTGTACCGGGTAAGATTTTAACCTATTAAAACGACATCGTACTCAAGATAAGAGCTGTCACTCCCACTTACCAGGTAAGATTCTCGGTTCTTGCCATACTCTTACTTGGTAAGATTCTTGGTTCTTGCCATGCTCTTACTTGGTAAGATTCTGCATCATTTCGTGTTCATCCGATAAGGTAAAGTGACCTGGTAAGCACTTAAATGGCCCCTTAACCTGGTGCCAAAAACCAAGTGGTTGAATAGAGGTAGTAATACTTTCACCAAAAAGTAGTTGTTTAGGTATATATCCTTCTGACATATTTTTTTAAATGCACGATCTTCTGACAAAGCTGGACACGTTATTGTGTTAGGAAGAAACATTCTTCTATTAAGCAAAGACTTCTTAAATCTGTTAGAAGATCATGCATTTAAATTTTGTGTGTGAAAGTTATTCTATTAAATAGCCCAAAAGGTGATAGCCATGTTAAACGTTATATAGAATACATAATGTAAGATTGAGTAAATTCTTACCTATTGTCCAATTTCTTGACCATTTCTATTTTTTGGGTTCTTCCCCATTTGTATTCTCAGATAACAATAAACAGACCAGAGAGGAGAAATGCATTCCGACCACATACAGTTAAGGAACTAATTCGTGCCTTCAATGATGCCAGGGATGATGGTACAATTGGAGTCATCATTCTCACTGGAAAGGTAGGTCCCCCTTCCCTTTAAAATATATAATATACTGCAAAACTCACACACACTCCACAATTTTGGTGAGGCATGAACCCCTGACCTCCAAGGAAGTTGGGATCTACCGGTAACCCAAATGTCACTGGACCATTGCCCATTTGGCAAGGTATCCCTTTTTCCTGGACTAAGGGGCTGTTTGGTTGGTTTTTCATCAAGTCTTGTATGGATAAAGTTGTCTGTGTGGATTAATTTGTCTTTATAGATCGGAAAGGTTTTGTTTGGGAGGTTCTTTAATAGATGGAAGGAACGTGTTTTTTAATTAGGAGGGGCAGTTTTGGAAAAAAAAACTTGGCTTTCTGTATAAAACTCTTCTCTAAAAGCTTACTGAATAAGCCACTTTCTATCCGAATAAGCTGCGAGTCTCATTAAGTTCATTAAACTGCTAACAATAGACCCTAATAATGTCTTAAGAAGCCCATTTCATCTTTATTTTGATCCATAATCATGTTATATAGAGGCTGTTGCATTCTCATATAACTCTAACTTTACATGTTACGGCAGGGAACCAAGGCTTTTTGTAGTGGCGGTGATCAGGCACTTAGAAGTGACGATGGTTATGCTGATTTTGAGAATTTCGGCCGACTTAATGTTCTTGATTTACAAGTAAGATTTTCATACAACATTTATTATCTGTTCCGGTGCCAGCAAGTTTCTCATAGTTTTATAGAAGGGCAAAATGCATCAAAATACAATGAATCTTATTTCTGATTTAGTGTTGCAGAGAATTTTTTTATTCATTTTGACCGATAACATGTTGATCTTATAACATCTAATACGGGATATCAAGTTTATGGTCCAATTTGCGGTGTCCCTTTTGTAAACATTTCGTAAACCTGTCATAAACAGGTACCCATGTCATCAAATGTTACAAGATCAACAGGTTAACAGTCAAAATGAATACAATATAGGAAATTATGGAACTTTGTTACACGATTAAGAAAGAAAATCTTCATTGCACTAAATAAGAACTAAACCAAACTAAACTTGTTGCATTTTTCTCTTTCTTTTCAAAACACTTCTATGTTAACAAGCCCCCGCCCCTGGCCCTGCCCCCATCCCTGGAGCAGCTTCCCCTACAAATTGCATTTGCAGCACCTTTCTTTTTAGGATGTTATCTGTAAATCTTGTTTCTTTTGCCACTTGACTTGATTCAAATCATCAAAATGTAGTTGATTTGACGAGTATACTCTAATCCCATTATAGGTGCAGATTCGGCGGCTTCCAAAGCCAGTAATAGCAATGGTAATTTTAATTGTTTTATAATTCTCGACTACGCTGATTTGTTCACTATGGTACGAGTAAAATTCTTTGTTGGTTCTAACAAGGTTGCAGGCTATGCTGTTGGCGGAGGGCATGTGTTGCATATGGTCTGCGATCTAACGATTGCTGCAGATAATGCTATTTTTGGTCAGACGGGTCCAAAGGTGAACCGGTTAATACATCTAGATACACTTGTAGCATTAATACACCGGGCCAGGTTTAAAGAGAACCATAAATATTTTGAGAATCTGGAGAATCAACTATTCATTAATTATTCATGATGAATATTGTGATAGATATTCATGATGAATAGTATAAACAAGAGGCATAGGAACCAAGGGGGATTATGTTTTGTGTCTAATTGGATGCGAGTCCTGTGGAGAGCTTCTGGCCTCTCGAAAGCCATAAAACATTTGTAATCATGAATATTTAGGGTTATTCATTATGAATAATTCATGAAATAGTTGGTTCCTATTACATTTCTCATTTGAATCAGCCCCTTAATACACCAATGTTTATATCTTATTATATTTTGCTAAAATTGTTATTCATTGATGAAGTTTAAGATCATCTGAAATCTATTTATCATCTAACGTTATTAAGTCAATTAACGACGCATCAATTGTTTTTGGTGTGTGCATATAAAAGGTGGGAAGCTTTGATGCTGGTTATGGGAGCTCAATAATGTCACGTTTGGTAAACTTTCATCTAAAAACCGATTTCTTTTTCCAGTCAGTTTGTGTTTTGATTAACAATCTCATTGTGGTTAAACAGGTTGGCCCTAAAAAAGCCCGTGAAATGTGGTTTTTGGCACGGTTCTACTCCGCTCAAGAAGCGGAAAGAATGGGACTGATCAATACGGTAGTCCCTGTAAGTTCGTTTTCCGAAAATAATCACAATTTATGTACGTATGCTTTTTTTAAGATCCAAAAACTCTCATTTTACATTGTCATCTAATTTATTAGCTAGTTCCTATGTCCCAAAATAAATGTTCGCAATAAAAATGGCACGCAACTTTAAGAATATGTAATTATTACACTTTTTAAATAACCAAATGACATTTTTATCCTTGATAACAGAGAGAGAAACTTTCTCTATCTCATAACTAAGGGTATGAGTATGGTAGAAGGGGAAAGTGGTAGTTATTTTGGGATAAGCTAAAATAGATTTGTGAACTTTTTAAATAACCAAATAACATCTTGACCCTTAATAAAAGAGAGAGAAACTTTTGCTATCTCATTGTAAGGGTATGGTAGAATGGGAAAGTGGAAACTTATTTTAAAACAAACTAAAATATAAATATGGACATTTTATTTTGGGATGGAGGGAGTAACTTTTTTTAACCAAACATGACTAGTTTATCAACTAACAGTTGGCTGCTTTCCATATATGGGTTATTGGCTAATGAAAAATCTTTAATCATGTGTTAGCTAGAAAAACTAGAAGAGGAAACAGTTAAATGGTGCAGGGAGATCATAAGAAACAGCCCCACTGCCATTCGGGTGCTAAAATCGTCCATAAACGCAGTCGATGATGGGCATGCTGGACTCCAGGTTTTCCCAGACCCGTTTGGTTTAACAGAATATTTTTGAATGATTTGGATTTCATGAAATGATTTGGAATCTTTGTTGTGTTTGGTTTATAGGATTTAGAATGAAATTGAATTACATTATTTATAGATTATTTATAAAAACAAATTTTAAATAATTAAAAGAAAAATTAAATTACCTTTTATTAATTGATATACCATGATATACCAACTACCCCATGGGATTTCATTGAAATCCTTGGATTTCAATTCCGGACTTTCTCTTACACCAAACACGGGATTGAAATAGAATCCAATTTCAAATTCCATCAAATCCCGCAAACCAAACGGGTTCCCGATCTTCTTCAGGATTTTTTTTTTCTTTTTCTCCTGTTTAAATACATTATTTATCCATGTAATTTTTATTCAGGAAATCGGAGGAAATGCCACTCTTATTTTCTATGGAACGGAAGAAGGGAAGGAGGGAAAGACGGCATACATGGAACGTAGGCCTCCGAACTTTTCAAAGTTTCCTCGACGACCTTAAATTGTGTAGGATAGTAGCTTCATTGTTGTATCATTGTGTTATAAATTGTATCTGGAATTAAGTGGTTGAGCAAAATGTATCAATTTTCTATAAAATGGTTTGTGGTAACTATTGTATTTGTTTTTTCATAAACGATAAGATTTTTTGATGCATATATATATTTATATACTAGAAGGGTACTCGTGTAATGCAGCGAGATACATCTTGATTTTATTGTTTCGTTTTATATTTTGGGTCTATCGATGTTATAATGCGACTTTATGTGGTTTTGACAAAAAAATGTTTTTATTTTTGAATGAAATATAAATTTGAAGATATTATAAAATTTTGAAAAAAATAAGCAATATTAGTATCAAATTAACTATTTAAAAATTTTTGTTTTTGTGTAATTTCTTTAATTCAATTTTTTATTATAATTTAATTGAAGTTTAAAAATGAACTAATTTATTTTTTGTTTAATAAAATAATTTATTTAATATAATAATTAAGTATTCTGTTAGAACTCAATGATTATTCTCTATTTGATTATGTTTATCCGCAGTTAGTTACATGAATTCAAACATGAAGTTTTAATAAGTTGTACTTATGCATAATTTACTTGTAGTCTTGAATTTTAAGTAATATGTGTCAATATACAGTACTTTATGCATAAAAATGGTTTTTAAGAATTTTTGTCAAATGTTTTATAATATAGTATAAATAACAAATGGTCTGTCTCTAGTTGAAAACTTAACCATCAGGAAGGTTAAGATCTATTGGTAACATGTATACCACTAGGCCCATGATCCTTTGCTAGAAATCGAGAAGTTCTAATATCATATATGATTACACTTATTTGATGTATTTAATCATATATGATTAAGCGTCTATGTGTTTAATTATATATGATTAGTCGTGTTTGCATCATGCATGTGATTATATATAAAACAAATTATATATATACCACTAGGCCCATGATTCTTTATGAGAAGTCGAGAATTTTCAATATCATATATGATTACAGTCATTTGATGTGTTTAATGACATATGATTAGACGTTTTTGTATCATGCATGTAATTATATATAAAACAAATGATATTATCAACTTGTGCGTTAAATTAAAACGATGTATCACCTTCAAACGTATCGCTTGAAGTCTACTTAAATATATTTTCTTTAAATAAATTAATGTTTTTGAGTTCAAATTTCGTTTTAAAAAAATTGAAAGGTACATATAATTTGGGAATTGAAAGTAATTGAAAAATGAAGTCAATTTAAGTCAAAAAGGATAAAAAGGGTAATTTGGGTATTACAAACAAAAAGGGGAAAAAGTGAATGGTAAACAGTAATATCTGGTGATCTTTTTTGCTTCCTTTATTTAACCCCATCTCCGTTGACGTATCTCGCCCCCATATTCTACAATCCCCCCTCGCGCTCTCGTTCCCTTTTCGATCGATCCCTCTCCAAAAGCTTTTCGCAGGTAAATCCAATCTTGTTTCCATTTCTTCTTTGATTTTGTAGGTTATACTCGTAATCAGAACGAATTTACTCAAAATTTCTGTTCATACGCCATCAGATCTCTGGTGATTGGCTTGTTTTGCTAATCGTTTCAACGAATCTGTTTTTAAGTTTAAAATTCTTATGAAACTGAGAGATTTGTTCCGAAAATTTTCATATTGATTGGTATTTATGATTTTTACGATACCCGATTTGAAATTGGTGGTGTTTTTTTGGGATTAGGTTATTTTTGTGAAGTTTTACTTCTTAATTTGAAGTTGCGTTTCGGTATGTTTCTGATCTGCATATTACAGGTTGCAAAGATCGATCTACTCTGTGAATTATCATTCTGTTTAAATTTAAGTTCTGTCGTAGAGTTGTTATTGAAGCTAGGATCTAGACCTCGGCTTAGAGATCCATTAGGTTGAGCACTTTGGGGAGGAAATGTTGGTTACGTTTGGAAGTTAGATTTTGTTCAGATCTATTCTAACGTTGTTTTCCTGGTGAGCAGTGTATCATGAACCTTGATTTCAAAATCGACTTAAAACAAGCGTGGGATGAAACGATTTTTTATAGTACGATGATGATCTACGTGTTGGGAAAATCGCTTGTGTTCTTAAGTATTAGAATTTTATAACTGCATGCATATGCTTGATAATGTGGTAATCTGTGTAACTTGAATCTAAATATAGCCAACAGATATATTTTTATTAATGATCTACAGTTGCGTGGTGCAACCATGTTGATCTGGCATACATCCTCAGATCCAATGGATTTAGATACATTCTGGACAATGTTATGCATATTTTTTGTTTACAATTTGGTTTTCTAGTTACCTCATATAACTTTTTGACTGATTTATATGAAATGTTTTACTGTTTGCAGGGATCCTCACCAGCAATAAAATGGGGCTAACATTCACCAAACTCTTTAGCCGGCTCTTTGCCAAGAAAGAGATGCGCATCCTGATGGTGGGTCTCGATGCAGCTGGTAAGACAACCATATTGTACAAGCTCAAGCTTGGTGAGATCGTGACAACAATCCCTACCATTGGTACGTCCTTTTTTTTACATAGATCAATTAGCAATGCATGTGGCATTCTCTCTCTTGTTCCTTGATTTATTTCTCAATTGTTTTGCACGTCATGGTATCTAGAAAATTAAATGGGCCTTTTGTTTTGAAAGCCTGATCTGAATGCTGTCATGAAGGTTGCTTTGCTGAGTCATTATCAGCCTTCCAGGCCATTTTATACAAATTGTTGAAAAAATATTCAAGTTCTGTTTAACCACTTTCTCTGGTCTTAAAAGCTTGGAAAATTTCTATCTGGGAAGGCTGGAATCGTGTTGAGTGGTCAACGTGTTCTGCTGTTGAAACAGAATTTTGAATTTAGCCTAACTTGTTGAATTCATATCTTACCTAATGCCTGCCAGTAATTTATGATACCAAATTTTTATGGAGATCACGGAAAGTAGAGGTTCTTCTATAAAGGATATAGTAGTATGAATAGTAGTGCTTACAACTGGCTGGTCAATCCGGTAAATACCAATATAATGTATGTCTGAACTATTTGTGGGACTGCATCCTGCTATACCTGTGTGGCCTATACCAACTAGAATGCATAGCTGTAGTCTCCATCTACTATGTATTCTATTTTAAAGCTTTAAATTTCATTGACATGACAATACTTTGTACTCACCACACATCTCAACTTCCCTTGCACATTGTAATCTCCTTTCAACGTCCTAGAAAATGGATGTCATTAAACATCTATGCCATGTCTCTACTGACTTGTCTGTGGCACTGGATGCCACTTCTATTTAAAGGATGAACTTTTGTACACGTTTGATCTAGAATAGGTAATAGAACGACAACGAAGGTGGCTACTAGTTGTGCCAAGGACTTTATGTACGTTTCCAAAATTTGGATATCCTTTGCTATCCCTGTTTTGCCCTCTGCTTTCAGGGTAGAGGATAGGTTTGTGTACATCCCACCCCAGACCTCATACCTGGCTGAGATATAAATGGGCTCATTTGGTTTGGTTTAGTTCTTTGCTATCTCCGTTTTGTCTAAAGTTTAGCATGCTATCAGAAACTTTTACCAAGAATGGAATGCACTTCATTGCATTGAGAGGTATGTTGTCAGCTTCAGGCATTAGTTCGAAATCTCGCCAATATATTTGTGATTCTTTACAGGGTTTAATGTGGAGACTGTCGAGTACAAGAACATCAGCTTCACCGTGTGGGATGTTGGTGGTCAAGACAAGGTTAGCAATGCTTTTAGTTTTTTGACTTTATTTAATGATACATATGTATATTTAGAATCAATGATTGTCGCTGCTGAAGTACATATAGACTTGATATGTTTGTATTAAAATGTTGTATATGCAGATTCGTCCACTATGGAGGCACTACTTCCAGAACACACAGGGTCTTATCTTTGTGGTTGATAGCAATGACAGGGATAGAGTTGTTGAGGCAAGAGATGAGTTGCATAGGATGTTGAACGAGGTGACTTTGCATTTTTTTAATCATTGCATCTTCTTATTGCTTACTCTTATTCAGCTTTTCAAAACTTTATATTATCTGTCTTTCTATCTTCGCCACACTTTTCACAAGCCAAGGGGTCTTCATGGAAACAGCCGCTCTACTGTTTGTGGTAGAGGTTAGGTCGGCATACATCTTACCCTCCCCAGACCCCACCTCCAGATGGGATATGTTGCAAAATGTAATTTTTAGATTAAAAGCTTGCAGAAATTTTCAATCACTTTGCAAGTATATTATGATACCTGACAGTGTTACATGGTTGCCCAATAACCACTTAAAACCATGGTGGAATATTGGTAGCCCACAACTTTGAGCTTATAACCACAGTTTTCGATCCATGTGGGACGGGTTATTGTTGTTGTTGTTATACTCGAGGAAAAGTTGCTCGACTGTAGTGTCAAATGGGTATATAACTGGATTTATTGATACAATTTTACCTACAGGATGAGCTTCGTGATGCAGTCTTGCTTGTATTTGCTAACAAACAAGATCTTCCAAATGCAATGAATGCTGCTGAAATCACTGATAAGCTCGGCCTCCATTCCCTCCGACAGCGCCACTGGTAATTGCTTGCTCGTCTCGATAGAATATTTATCATATATAGTTATGATCTTGTTACAAGTAACCTCATCGTTTATTTTGCAACAGGTACATCCAGAGCACCTGTGCGACATCTGGAGAGGGACTTTATGAGGGTTTGGATTGGCTTTCTAACAACATCGCTAACAAGGCACGTAATCATCTAAATAAAAAACAAAGTTTGTTTTTTCTATCTTTCTGTCCTGTTTTTATTTTGGTTCTAAACGTCGTGTTCTGGCACGTTATGGTGGTAAGGCTTGGCTTCGCCGCCACGTTAACCCATTTGGCTTCACTCTAAGGCTTGGCTTGCTTTGTAACGCGTCATGACACATTACAACGTGTTATGGCACGTTATTTTGTAAGGTGTGGGGTTTTTAAATATATAACTTGAGGGATAAATGATAATTATGTATGAGACATAAGACTTAAATAAACATAAGAAGGAAACTTAAAAACTAAAACCCTAAATAGGTAAATACTTGCCACCATTCCCTTTACACGAAGAGGCGAGCACAAATTCTTTGAAAATTGAAGAAAGTAGTGAGTAGAGATTCAAGAGAGATTTAATCCCAATTTTACACTCTTGATAACATTTTTTATAAGCTCTATATATTTGGTATCAGTGGTTCTTTTTTTTTGTAGTTTTTGTCTTAATTTATATGAATTTAATTTCTTCTACAATATTATTCAAAACACTAAAACTCATAGTTTTTTGTGTGTGTATATATATGTGCATATAATATATATATATATATATATATATATATATATGTATATATATATGTATATGTGGTTGGGTTCCGGTGAGAAGTTATGTGAGAAGGGATCTCCACTCTTGGATAAATTCTAATCGAAGATCAATAGTAATGAGATGTACCGGATCAATTCCTGTATCGAGTGCAATTCATGGGGTGGGGGTGAGATTAAAAATGATAAAAGGGTCGAGATCTCTTCTTACGCTTCTCAGCTTAACTTCTATTCTCACATGACCTTTCGTCTATATAGTGTATATATATGCCGCCTTAGAGTACGCCTTGAAAAACGTCGTAACTCGTAAGGCTTGACCTCGCCGCCACGCCTCATGTTATTTAGAACCTTGGTTTTGATCATTGTGTTTTGTGTTTTCTTTTGGTTACAGGCATAAGTGTGATATGAAACCATTCCCTGAATGCGGATCTTGGATGCGAGCATTTGCTTGGTTTAAGTGGTGAGCTTCGTATCATCTGGTTGTGCTCAATGTGTGCATTTCTGGGCAGGGTTTTTGTGCTTTTGTTCTGTAGCGAGCGATGTTGTGTCTGGTATAATATTTGGTTGTATTTCAAGTACTTTTTAAAACCTAAAGTTGTAACAGAGATTAATTTTGGTTGTTTTTTATATGTTTCTTAGATTCAACTAAACTTCACTTTACTTTGCTGCATTGAAAGCAAATGTTACTGTTTCTTTTTGGAAGTGTTTTATGGTCAGGCAGGGGATTTGTCTACCAACCAAGCTATAGCTGGTAAATGGCTACATAAACCACACTCCCACCAATCGGAGTTTTTCTAGCTGTTTTTCACGGCCAATGGAATCAGGGGAGGCATGCACAAGCTCCTACAGACACCTACGCTCAATTAAAATAAAAAAGACAAGACAGCACTGATAATGAATCGACCCTTGGGGACTTGGGGCTATTTGGTTGGCAGTGCTATATGGAGAAAGTTACGTGGATTAATCTCTCTATAAAATGGGAAGGTTTTTTTTATAAAGGGAGGAATGTGTTTTCTAATTAGGAATGACAGCTTTGGAAGAAGGAAAAACTATATTTTATAAACGACTTTATATGTCATTAAGTCACTATCAAGTAGTCTGCATAATTGACTGGATAAGTTGTGGGTCTCATTAAGTTTATTAAGATACTAACAAAAAGACTTAAGAGGTTGTTTACTAAAATTTGTGGGTAAGTGCGGACTACGATAAAAGGGCTAACTAAAAATTATTGTTTACGAAATGAATTGTATTAATTACTGATCGAGTTAAAAAGATCATTATACCCTTATGTTTGAAATAAGTATTTTTGAACATTTTTCCAAATACAATGTCTTAGAAAATCATTTTTTTTAAATACTCTGTGTCATTTTCCGAGCTTAAAATTGCAAGAGATGATTGCCATTTTTAAGCTAATTGCTTTTTAAATATGTTTAATATGAGGTCGAACTAAAAGGAATTTGTTTTGAGAAAAAAAAAACAATTGAGAAAGAAATAAACGAAGATATAAAAAAAGAAATGATATATGTTGTTGAGGTTGTCCAATCTCTTCATCACCATTCACCACACGTTCCTGTGTGTCTTGTTGGGCCAACAGACAACAGAGATTGGGTTGATGGTTAAATTAATTTTGGCACCGTTAAAGTTGAACGACACGAAAGATGAGCTTTTACACGAGTTACAGATGGGGTTGATGATTAAATTAATTTTTGCACGTCTATGTGTTCCCTCAAAGGAGGAAGTGGAAGTGAAAAAAACACCTATCCAGGTATGATGTTCATCAGGGTCAAACAGGAAACATCTCCTTTTTCTCTTTCCCTCACCCAAGCTCACATTATTTATTTTTAGCACCGGGTGTGTTTGGGATGTGCATGTTTAAAACAACTTATGTTTTTTTTAAGTGTTTATTAACTTATGCGGTGTTAAACTGGAGTTCTATAAAAAGTGTTTGAATTAGCTTACGGCGGTACCAAAACGAAATAAGCTGATAAGTTGTTTTTTAGTGTTTGATAAAGTTTGCTTATACATATAAAATGATCAAAAAGATTGAGAGGCCAGACGTGAAGAAACTTGAAGAAGTAATCAAAAATCTACAGAAAGGTCTTGCTGTGAAGATTCAAATGTAAAAAAAATGGTCCTATGAAAATAGGTTGGCCTTACGTAAACCCAACTTTAATAGAAAATATATCAAACTATTATTCAGTATAACAACACTATCATAATAAAATTTTATTTCTTAGAAAATAACTTATTCATACAATATAGGTTAACCACCCCCCCCCCCCCAAAAAAAAAAAAAAAACAGCTGGCTTCATCCCCCAAGTAACCAAAAAATTGTCTAGGTTTAATATGAAATGGTTAAGATCGTCGGTAATCAACTATTTATTCAAATTAAACCATATTTATACTATATTATAAAACACTTGAGAAAAACTCTTAAAAACTATTTTTTATGCATTAAGTATTGTTTGTTGATGCATATTACTTAAAATTCAAGATTACAAATAATTACAAGTATACATAACTTATTAAAACTTCAAATTTGAATTCGTGTAACTAACTGCAGATAAACATAATTAAATATGTGATAACTATCTCATTTTAAATATAAAAAATATAAAATATATTTAAGATAATTATTAAATTCTAACAAAATATTAATTATTCTCTTGTAAAAAAATTATATTATTAAACAAAAAAATAAATGACTTCATTATTAAATTTAAATTAAATTATAATAAAAATTTGAATTAAAGAAGTTACAAAAAAAAATAAGAACTGTTAAATATTTAACTTGATACTAAATCGATACATTTTTTTTAAAAATTTATGATACCTTCAAATTTATATTTTATTAAAAAAATAAAAATATTATCGTTTTTTCAGAACGACATAAAATCGTATTAATACATTGACGAAGACATAATGAAAACAAAACATTAAAATCGAGATATATATCGTTGTATTATACGAATACCCTTCTAGTATTTATTAAATACTCTTATTATATTTACTTAAGTTTAACTACTATAAAAAAAACAACATTCTTTTAATTCTCACAAAAAGTGCTTTTACAGGTTTTCAATTATTGTTATTTATTTATCAATATTTTTTATTCCAAAAACTATAACTTTTAGAGTAAACTACGGTTTTCATTCATGTAAATTGATGTTTATAATTATTTTTGTTTTTGGTCTTTTTTAATTGTTTTTTTCGTTCCTATGGTTTCTATTTTGATTCTATTTTCGTCCCTTTATTAACGGCATTAAAAATTAGGGTTAGAAAATCCAAAAAGTGATGTTAGTAAATTACATATTTGGTCCTTGTGGTATACACATGTGGCGTTTGTTTTTTTAAGAGGTGTTAGAAGTTTGAAATCTTATTTCACTTTTGATTTATAAGAGGTAGTGCTGAAGTCTGAAATCTGAATCAATAAGACTGTTTGTTTTTGTAAACTGATAAACCTCTGATTTGTTTAAATTGTCTATTCTACCTATTAAAAAATTGTGATGTTGAATTTATAGATGAATTTATATAATTTCACATATTTATTCACCATCATTACGAAATTTACATCTAAATTATATAATTAACATTAATTTAAATTAAAATATGTCATTAACAGTATTTAACATATTTAAATACTATTAAAATACACCAATTGAGAGAAATGATCGATTAAGACCAATCGATTGAGAAATGTCGTTGTTGAGGCTTGAGGGTTTGAAAAACAATAAGAGGTGGATTTATCTCTTACTAGATAAGAGGACAATAAGACATAAGTGCATCTGAAAAATTGGAAAAAATAAACAGTGTGAATGACCTTACCTCTTAACGGATCATACATAAAAGGCTGATAAGAGTTTTTTTATAAAAAATAAACAAGGTCAAAGTATTAAAGATTTATCCTTAAATTTTATTTGTTACATTAATAAACTATAAATTTGGTTACCATGGTTTGTGAGAATAACACTTATATATATGCTTTACTCTATCTACTTTTTCTTTCTTTACTATATTTAAATACTACACACACACACACATACACATACATATATATATATATATATATATATAGGGTTGGATTCACGTGAGACCAAGGGTTTTTCGTAAGATCCGTAAGACCAATTTATGTTCATTGATCAACTTTATAAGCTAATGAATGGTCTAAAGTTGTACGGCGACAATTTTGTAATTATTGAGAAGTCTCGTGGCAAATTTGTGATTATGAATGTTGAGATTGTAGATCTAATCCAAGGGTTGAGAATTGGTCTTGCGGGTCTCACGAAAAAATCTTGAAAACAACCATCAGTTGGTATAATATAAAATGATTTTTTTAATCCTATTAAACTTCTTATGATGTGATCTTTTATGATAATTAAATGATTTTGTTATGATATATAATAATGTGATAATCAGAATGATCACGTCCACAATCATCGGATCTGTTTGTTCATTACGTAGAATCTCCTAACATTAATATTTTTTTATTGATTTATTTAAGGTTTTTATTTATTTTAAATTACGATCCGAAAAAGTTTAATAAAATTCGAGGAAAATTTTTAATTTTATCTTATACCAACAGGTTGTTATCTTTATTAAATGCACTTAGGGGTTGTATTTTTACCTCTTAATAGTTCCATTAAGAGACATTATATGAATCGTTAAGAGGTGAATCTTGTTTGACAAAAAAAAGTTTGTCTCTTAATTGTTCTAAAACTCTCTGAATGATTTTGTATCTTTTGTCTTCCTTAACCATTCAGCGCCCTAATTTCATTGTAAACAATTATCAAACAATTAAATTTCATTTTGCACTATATTATGAGAGTCTCTTAATCATTCTGACTACTTAATCATTCTGCACGAAACCATTCAGTAACTGTCAAATAACCCCTTACTCCCACAACGACCAAATTTATGGGTTATTCATGTAATTAATGAAATTTGAGAATAAATTCTTACAAGTTTGGTATACCATAAGGACCAAATATGTAATTTACTAAATCACTTATTGGATTTTCTAACTCTCATTCCTAATTGACTTGGATGGAGGGACGAAAATGGTAGCAAAAGAGAAACTACATGGATGAAAACAGCAGTTTTTAAAGATCAGGAATGAGAACCGTTATAAGTATCAAACCACAGGGACTAAAATCGTAATTTACTCTAACTTTTATTAAAAATAATAAGTTGGAATTTAATTTTTAGTTATTTAAAAGAATGATGACGTTAGATGAATTTGTATGGTTCCAAACTTTCAATCCTCACACGCAAATGAGTGGTGTGAACGAAAGTCAAAGTTTCATCTTAAAAATGAGTTTTTCATGTGTTTTTTTTTTCTTATTTAAAAAGTTATGGGGTTGCTTTAAAAAGAATATGAGGTATTTTTAATAAAGAATAAGTTGCATAAAAATGTAACGTATTTTAATTTGATTTTTATTTTAGATAACGTATTTTTAAAATTTTCATTGGTATTTAAGATGTAAAGTTTTAAACATTTAAGTACCTGAGTAACCGGTTGAAGTATTAATCGGTTATCATGCTGATGTGACGAGTGATGTAGTATCTAACTCATTATTATTTGCTGACGTGGTTAGTGACATGAATTTTTTTTAATTTAAAATTAGCCTTCAACCGGTTATATAAATACTTAAATGTTTAAAACTTTATATTATAGATACTAAAATAAAAGTTTTAAAAGTATGTTACCCAAAATAAAAATCAAGTTAAATTACGTTACTTTTTAATGCAATTTGTTCATTAATAAATTACGAACTTCTTAATTTGATCTATTAACAAAAAAAATATTTTTTTATTAATTTTGTTTCGTTAAATAAGATTTAATATTCAATAATTTAAATATAAATTAAATTATATGTTAATCAAACATTACGTTTAAAATAAATTACGAATTACATCCTTGTGTTTTAAAATTCCTGATAATTTATTGTTTTTGTTCTTATGATTTATAATTATTTGTTGTTTTAGTCCGTAATATTTAAAAGTATGAGTTAACTTCAGGGACGAAAGTAACAGTGAGTTACGAACTGTGAGGGATAAAAACCACAATTTAAAAACCATAAGGACGAAATTTGTAATTTTTAACAAACCACATGGACAAGAAATGTAATTTACTCATATATTTAATAATAAGAGAGAAACAACATTATTCCATATTTCACAAAATTACAATCCAAAACTTCATATATTTACTCATTCTATTTACTATACAAATTAATAATAGAGTAAATTACGCCGTTGGTCCATGTAGTTTGCTCAATATCTAAACACAACCTCTACTTCAAAATAATTACAATGAGCATCCTCGTGGTTTGGATTTTGTTATAAGATGAATCGATGTCCTTAACACTGTTAAATCTATGATACACGGGTCATTTAGTATGCTTTTTTGTCTTTTTCCTATTAAAAATCTCTCTCTCTCACACACACACACACACATATATATATATATATATATATATATATATACACACACACACAAGTCGTCACGGTCTTTGTAGTCCCTCCCGGAACCACCTTCCGTCTTCCTCCTCCTTGACCCCATTTCCATCTCCATTTCCTGTGTCTCTTTCGCTTTTTAGGAACGAATAGTGTAATTTACTCTTAATTATATTATTATATATTTTTTATATTTAAAAGCCGTATTTATATTGACAAATATATGTACCTAATAATATGATTACTTATTTCATTAATACAACGTAACTGAATTTTACAGGTCATATGGTAAAAAAAAAAATTGATACTCGATTCATCTACTAATAAGAATATCTACAAAATAAAAAATAACCAACGTTATGTTTACTAAAACGAGAGGCATTTTTGACATTTTATCGATTTCTTTTGTCTTTTACACAATCAAAAGCTATTTTATGATTATGGTTCATGTGGTTTTTGATTGATTAAAAGACGAAAAGTTTGATGAAATGACGAAAATGTTCGTTATTCAGCATAAACTTTTAACGACCTTTAGATGGAAGAATCAAATCTGAACGTTTTTGTAAACCACAATGACCATCTTGTAATTTCAAAACTATAAGAACGAATAGTGTATTTTTTATAACCACATAAACCAATTTATAGTTTACTCATAGTTTAATTCAGAGTAAATTACGGTTTTCATCCCATTGGTTTGTCAGTAGTTTCCATTTTCGTCTTTATGGTTTAGAAATTACGATTTCAATCATGAGCTAATTCTTAACTGTAAAGTACAAGGAACCAAAACAGTAAAAAACTATAAATCAGAAGAACGGAAACAATAATAAATTAAAAACAATATTAATTTATTATTTCGAATGGTGGCCCATTTTAAAGCCCAACAGATTTAGAAGTGAAGTCCAATGAGCATGAAAGCTGAGTAGCTGACAGATCTGGCTTCCACGAAGCCGATATACGAGCCTAACTTTGACTTATGGTCAACTTTCCACCAGATAAACCAAATCTGCTACAGAATATTTGTTCCCATCACTCAAAGACTCCTTTTTTAATCTCATTTATCATCATTGAACCTCCAGCTTAATAAAAGTTACAGAATCAGTCCCTCATCAAAATAAGTTTTACTTTTTCGTCCTTGTAATATAATGTCTATTATAAAATTCATTTTGAAACCAATTATTATGGTTGATTGGTTGTTTGGTTTGTTTTGCATTAAATCATGTATGAATAAAGCTATATTTGTGGATTAATTTATCTGTATAGATTATGAGGGTTTTTGTTTAGGATCTTTTTAAATGAACGTGGTTTTTAATTGGAAGAGGTATGTTTGAAAAAAACTTAGCTTTCTGTATAAAACTTCAATAGAAACTTACTGAATAAATCATTTTTTGTATCATAAAACTACTACCAAACAATCATGTATAGCTGGCCGAATAAGCTATGAGTCTCATTAAACTGCTAACAAACATACCCTAAAAGGCTAAAACTATAAAACAAATATGATATTGTACAGATTGTATTGAGCATATGAACAATATTTAAATACATGCTTGTATGTTTTGTGAAATTATAATGTTTATATAATGGGATGTCTGTTAAAAAGTTATTTCATCAAGTTCAATAAAGAAATTTAAGTTTTTTTCCACTGATATGTGCTTTCAAATGAGAACAACGCTTTTATTATACATTCAAATAAAATAAACAAGTGAGTGTATAAATTTTTGGAGTTATATGTCAAATAACAGGTATTTTAAATTTTAACATGTTAAAGATGCATGTAGAACCTAAAAACACAGAGCAAAATGAATCAAGATTTTGGAAAGACCAATCAAATTGGACCAGAGTATGTTCATTTAGTTATAGTTTTTTCATGATTCTCGATGATTTGGTCCAAGAAATTGTGAAGTAGAAGGTTTTGTTTTTAGAATTCTTCAACCAACGTACACGGAAATAAGCACACCCCCATATACATACATACATACATATACATATATATATATATATATAGAGAGAGAGAGAGAGTATACATATACACACACACATATATATATATATATATATATGTATATGCATATTCAGTAGAACGAGACAGTACAAATAGATTGAGAGTTGTAAATAAATAAAAGAAAATTAATCATATGTCTTTGTTTAATTCGGTTTTAACTAGTGTTGAGCCAATTATACCGAAAATTAAAATTTCTATTTTGTTTCGGTCTTAATTTGTTTTGATCCCAACTTGCTTGATTCGTTTTTGTTAGTCCAAACCATTCTATACGCATCGAGATAGACCCTTGTCTCCATCTGCAACAAGTCTTATCACATGACAACGACTACAACAAAAGAATGATCCACCTTGTGGTTTATATGTCTTGAGCAATTAAAATGACATTACTAATAAATACGTGTAACTTCACTCATAATTCCACTCGTTTTAGTTGCGACATCTGGTCCAAATTTTAGATTAACTCCACATCTTCTCAGTCATCCAAGACTAAGTCGCTATTTGGTTAGGCTTCCCTTAAGTCTTGTATGAATAAAATTGTCTGTGTAGATTAATCTATCTCTATAGATTGGAAATATCTTTGTTTGAAAAAGTTTTTTTATAGATAAAAAGAGTTTGTTTTTTAATTGGTAATGACACGTTTGGAAAAAACCTGTCTTTATGCATAAAGCCTCTCATAAAAGTTTAAGAAATAAACCACTTTCTACATCATTAAACCACTACTAAATAAACATGTATAGTTGACCGAATAAGCTGTGAGTTTCATTAAACTCATTAAGCTGCTAATAAACATACCCTAAGATTATAAGGACCAATCATGGAATAAATTATTGAGTTGGAGGGTTATTTATGTAAATATTTCTTCTCATTTGTACTGCTACACCAGTTTTGGAAGAAAGTTGAAAGCAAGACGCCAGAAGCCAAGTCAACCAAATTTCAGCAGTGTCTCGAAAAAGGCGATTTCTTTAAAGCAGGGCATCTCATCTCTCTGCAGAAACCAACAGCACCAGCTCCAAATTCCCTTTTCTCTCTCATCTGGTTTTCGATTCTCTGCCAAAAAAAAAAAAAAAACCCATTTCAATCAGGTAATTATAGGAGGAGGAAGAAAAAGGAGGTTGGTGTTCAAGTTGGAAAGCTGAAACCTATCGATTTTTGAGTTTGAGATCTGAAGAAAAGGGGATTCGCGTCAGATCCGAGGATTATTGTTGTTGTTGGCTGAACAACGCGGATTTTGTTGAAGATATGTTTTTGTAGCTTTTTTACGTGAGAAAAAAGCTAATAAGCTTCGTTCGTGATCTGCACTAGGGTTTTGGGATCTTTAGATTTGTAATGGGGATTTGTTGGAGCATTCGGATTAAGGCCGAGAGCGCATTTTCGACTGGTAATTCCTTGTTTACTGTTGATAATTTCTGCTAATTCGATTCGTGGAATTAGAACTCGTTTCATTAATTGAGTTGTTACTTCCATGGATCTTATCTGAGCTTATTTTCCTCTTATCTTAACCTCGTATGGATGGATAAAAATGGCTACCCAACCATCAAAAACTATTGTGCTAATTGTTATGTAACTCAAATACACAAGGATTTTACAATACACCCCAAAGTGGAAATCTCTGCAATATTTTAGGATTTAAGTAGTATTTATTTAGATGTATGATGACTTCAACTTGAATTAGTTTTGAAGTTGCCATACTATTTGTTTATTTGAAGAGAAACAATTGTGTTGCTATAGGTGATGACTCTAAAATTGGAGAAAAGAATGGGAATAGTAATTCGAGTAGCAAGGTTTCCACTGGCTCTCAATCGAATACGCCTCGTAGTGAAGGTGAGATTTTGCAATCCTCCAACTTAAAGAGCTTCACCTTCAGTGAGCTTAAAAACGCAACAAGAAACTTCCGTCCAGACAGCGTATTAGGGGAAGGTGGCTTCGGTTCTGTGTTCAAGGGGTGGGTTGACGAGCACTCGCTTGCAGCTTCAAAGCCAGGAACTGGCATCGTGATTGCTGTAAAGAGGCTGAACCAAGAAGGATTCCAGGGACACAAGGAGTGGTTGGTTAGTTCTTTTCACTTTCTTGATCGTTTGTGGTTTATTTTGTAAAATATTTCCTTTGGCGCTTGAAGGGGATAGTTAGTCTTGCATTGATAATTGCATATGCAAGCATCTGAAAGAAAGAGTATCTTGATATGGATGGAATTGGGTGCTTCTACCCTTTAGTTGAATCTTATATGATGTGCTTCACAGATGCCGAGTTGACAATATTGTCGAGTTTGTTGACAAGAAATACTGGACAATTTAGGATCTTTTAGAGGTGCGTTTGGTACATGGACTAGACAAGACTGGATGGGCGCGAGAGTGAGATAGGTGTGTGAAAGAATTGTTGAAGGTTTTAGGGTTTTGATTATTTAGTAATCGACCAATCTTGTCTTATCTCCTTGATTTTTGTTTCACTTATTTTGGTGGAACAGGAAATATGCATTTTATCCCACTCAAGTCCAGTCTTGTTCCGGTCTAACGTCGTGCTAAATGCGCGACAAGTTTTTGTATCCTGTACCATCTTGTCCCACATACTAAATGCACCCTTAGAATCTCTAGAATCATGGCCTTCACATGTCATGCACCTGTGTCCTTGTCCATTCATGAATCAATAACTTTTACAATGGCATTCTTGACAATTATAGCTTCTCAATAGATGAGTCTTTCGCTTGTGCAGGCAGAAATCAACTATCTTGGACAGTTACGCCATCCTAATCTTGTGAAATTGATTGGTTATTGCTTAGAAGATGATCATAGGCTTTTGGCATATGAGTTTATGCCAAAGGGTAGCATGGAGAACCATTTATTCAGGAGTAAGTTAACCATATCTTATACAGATTCTCCACATTTACTAGCATACCACTCAGATTTAGGATTAACATGTTACATATAAAACAGGAGGTTCTTACTTCCAGCCACTTTCTTGGCGTCTACGGCTGAAAGTTGCTCTTGGTGCAGCAAGGGGTCTTGCGTTTCTTCATAATGCTGAAACCATGGTTATATATCGGGACTTCAAGACTTCAAATATTCTACTTGACTCGGTATGTATTTTGATAGTGTTTTAGGTCTTAATTCATTTAAGCCATTTAACATTTTCATTTTCATTTATATGTCCTAAAAAATGAGGATGTGATCATGGGTGTCTAATGTCCAGTTTTCTAACTTTGCCTACAATCAACAGACCTTCAACGCAAAATTATCCGATTTTGGATTGGCAAGGGATGGACCAACTGGTGATAAAAGCCATGTTTCTACCAGGGTTATGGGAACCTATGGATATGCTGCTCCTGAATATCTATCCACAGGTACGTTTATCTACTGAACAAGTGATAAGCGTTTGGTTCGTTTCAGGGAATGGAAATGGAAATGTGTTTCATTCCCATATTTTTTTGAGGAATGCTTCATGTCCATTCCATTAAGCTAAATCTGACACTGTTAACAGATGCTGGTCCATCCCGTTAAAATCAGACTTGACACCATTAGGATGCGTTTAGTATCCAGTCAGAATAAAACAGGACATAACAATTGTTGGCGTTTGGTAAGATAGAACTGGACAGGACAGAAGAGAATGAAGTTTTAGAAGAGAATGAAGTTCTATTTTGAGGTTATATGGGTAAAAATATAGGTTTGTTCCACCTTGTTCCATGGGATGGGGGTGGAACACGCCTGTTCCACTTTGTTGCACATAAAAGTCTTGCCACACATGGAACAGTGATCATGTTTAGTCCAGTCCACTGTACGAAAGCACCCCAAGTGCCAAAACATGCCTTTATTTCAGTTTCCTTGATCTTTGTTTGTGAAACTCTCGAGGGTAGTTCTGGTGATTGAGTTCTTTCTAGTTCTCGTAAGGGCATTCAATAAAAATTGCAGAAGTGATCTTTGGTAGGGAAAAAATGAAATATAATTACCCTTAATGATCATTCAAAATCTCCCCCCTCTTTTCATTTCGTGGGTCCATAAAATGAGGATTTGCGACCCCTAAAATGCGATAGAAATGAACTGCACATAGTCAAGTTGACTTTTGATTTTACAGTAAACCTGGCAAAATGTGTCGATGGGTGGATTTGTTGTATATGACCTGGCATGTTGACATAAACTGATGGGTACATATCTTACTTGAAAGTAGGGTTTGGTAGGGTGGGATTCAGGCAGGTACGTTATGATCTATGGCATAAGCCAAATAAAACCAAACGAGCTTAGGGGCTATTTGGTTGGTTTTCCATCAAGTCCTATATGGATAAAGCTGTCTGTGTGGATTAACATGTCTGCATAGATTGGAAATGTTTTTGTTTGGAAGGGTCTTTTATAAATGGAAGGAGCGTATTTTTTTAATTGGGAGGGACATGTTTGGAAAAAAGTTGGCGTTCTGCATAAAGCTCCCCCTTAGAAGCTTACTGAATAAGTCACTTTCTATATCATTAAGCTACTACCAAACAATCATGTATAGCTGACCGAATAAGCTGAGTCCCATTAAGCTTATTAAGTTGCTAACAAACCAACCCCCTAATATCTTCCATCCATCGGTGGGGTCCGCCCTGCCACCTGCGCCGGGGGGAGGGAAGTACACAAAACTGACCTCTATCCAGAAGGGAAGAGCGGTTGTTTCCGTTAAGACCATCGTCTGATCTATCATATACTTGGAATTTTATCAGCAAAATACAAAATGCCGATATTTGATATTTGCTGTTCTCAACCGACATTTAACACATTCCATCTCTTCTCATGAAGGTCATTTAACCGCAAAGAGCGATGTATACAGCTTCGGAGTGGTTCTCCTCGAAATCTTATCAGGTAAAAAAGCAATAGACAAAAACCGCCCAACCGGAGAACACAACCTAGTGGATTGGGCAAAACCTTGTCTTAGCAACAAACGGAGAATCTTCCGCGTTCTCGATCCACGTCTCGAGGGTCAATATTCACTCGGCCGAGCCCTCAAGTTAGCAAACCTGGCACTTCAATGTCTGTGCATGGAACCCAAGTTACGACCCAACATGGACGAAGTGGTCACGATCCTCGAAGAGCTTCAAGACAATGAAAAACGGGACCGTAGGGAACCCCAAATAAACCGTCATGGTGTTTCAACGACTAATAAAGCCCGATCCTGCCGACAAGAAGTTGGCCCGGGGGTGGTTGCGTATCCGAGACCTTCGGCTTCCCTTCGCGCTTAACGGGATGGATGATGATACTTTTTTGGGACCTGCAGGATTCTCAAGTGCACCTGTATGGTTCTGTTTGGTGTATAGTTCTGTTTTTTTTTTCCAAGTGGGTCTGTGTTATCAAGACGTTATTTAGTTTTACTAGAAAGACTAAATGATTCTGGATTTTTGGTGGAATGATAAAGAAAATGTGCTTTATTTATCATTAGAAGAGTAGTTTTGGGTCATTTCATCTTTTTCTGTGTGTTCATGGTTCAAATATCAATAAACGAAGACAAAAAGGAAACATCAAACCAAACAAACTCAATATATCACTTAGGTCGAGTTGTGGTGCACTGATTAAGTCTCAGTAGAATGTAGTGGAAAATCTCATCTGTCCTGGGTTTGAATACAGGCACTGTCAAAGTTCTTATGACCGTGAAGGTTCCATGTAATGATTCTAGACAATAGAGGTGGTTCTCGTAAAAACGTTCGACTTGCATAAAGCAAGCACCAAACCATATAGAGCCCATATCCTACATATGGGTAGCACCTGAAGAAGATAGAATGTATGCAAATATTACCTCTACTCCAGTTTTCAAATAAACATACAACTTGCAAAAAGCGAGTACGAAAGTGAGATGTAGAATGAAGTATGCTTTTCACATAACTTGATCATTCGTATTTACACCATCAAGAATTCAAAACGAGTGAGATAGATCTTAACCATGACTTCTATCAATAAAACTGAGTAAATTACGTTTTTCGTCCATATGATTTGTTAAAAATTGCTGATTTCGTCTCTATAGTTTTGGAATTTTGATTTTTTGTCCTTATGGTTTATAATTCGTTTCTATTTTCGTCTCTGTCGCCAAAACACTACTATAAAGTATGAAAGACCAAAATAAAAATGAATTGTAAACCAGTACGAAAAAGATAATAAATTTTAAATCATAGGGACAAAAAAAAGGTAATGAATTATAAACTTATAGTTATACTTATAAGTTATAACCTATAGGGATGAATTTGAGGTTTAATTGGGCTTCTTCAAGGCCCATTGTTGATTTGGGTACACGATCACACATATTGGATAAGGAGGTGTTCAGAAACTCGATCAACCAACCCAACATGAAATAATTTAACTTGAAAAAAAATGATGTTTAATTGAGTTGTAAAATTTTCAAATTTTAGGTACTAGGTTACGTTTATTTGAACCCAACTCAATCCGATAAACATGACATCTTTTTATTTATTGGATTTAATATGATTGTTGAGTCTCTATCAATATCTACATTAGACAAATTACACTATCACATACTCTCTTCATATAATGTATTTTCATTCTATTATCCGTCTCTATATAACTCTTTTGTATATATGTTCAGTAACTATGAATATATATATAGAGATAAATGATCGTGTGAAAATAAGAGTTAATGTGAGAAGCTTAAAAATTGGGACCTTTGATCACCTATAATCTCAGATTTACCTATGAATCTTGCTTGATATGCGGATTGATATGATGCATCTCGGTGCATCTCATCCAAAGTGCATCCAAAGGTGGTGATCATTTTTACGTTTCTTACAGGAACCCAACCCTGTGTGTGTATATGTGTGTGTGTGCGCACACACACACAAATTAAGTAGACCAGAGAAAATAACATATTCAAGATTAAAAGAATATTTTGGTATACCAAAGTATCAACTCGTACGATTTTTGTTGTGTTGTACTTTAGTTTGGGTTAGGTTGAGATTTTTCAAACAAAAGCATCATGTTAGGTTGTTCAAATGCTTTCAACCGGATCAACCTAACCCGTGAGCATCCGTATGGGATAGGACATGAGACATGAGACATGACTAATGAGTTTAATGAGATTTACAGATTATTTGATTGATCATAAATGACTATTTGGTAGTGATTTAATGATAAATAAAGTGACTTGGTTGGTAAACTTATAGGGGTAGATTTATGAAAAAAAAAAAAAAAAAAAAGACAAATTATCTCCAAACATGTTCATCCCTATTAGATAGCTCGCCTATTCTATGTATGTAAAATCCTCCACATAGATATCATCTCAATATATACAAACGGATTATATATTTAATAAAATATTTTTTTATTAAATATTTCAATAATATCTATATTATATTATAAAGTATTTGACAAAAACTTTTAAAAATCATTTTTTATGCACGAAGTACTGTTTATTGATGCATATTACTTAAAATTTAAATTACAAGTAAATTGTGCATAGTACAACTTATTAAGGCTCCATATTTTAATTCGTGTAACTAACTACAGATAAACATAATCAAATACTAGATAAACATCTCATTTTAAATATATCTAAAATATAATCAGGATAATCATTGAGTTCTAACAAAATATTTAGTTATTATCTTTATAAAAAATTATGTTATTAAACTTAAATTAAATTGCTTCGTTACTAAACCTAAATTACATTATAATAACAAAATTTGAATTAAGAAAATTACACCAAAAACAAAAATAAAACCACATAAAACCGTATTATATCAACATAAAAAAAGAATAAAACTAAATTCTGAAATCGATGTGTCTTGATGCATTGCACGAATATCCTTCTAATAATATTTATATGAATAACATATTTTATTTAAGTTGAATATAATTTTTATTAAAGATTTAATATTTTATTAAGAGTTTTTAAAAAAAAAATAATTTATTATAGATTTTTATTGGGAGTCATATAACTTTTATAAAAATATTTACAT